TGGTCAACGAAAATGCAGAAGATATTCGAAAATTGCATGACCTCTGTCGTACGTGTGTATTTAATTTGAACAAATTAGGTATTAAAACGGTGGAATGTGGGAATTGTTGGCTTATGTTTTAATTAAAAAATTACCACATATTTCTCGTTTAGAGTGGGAGAAACACCATGGGAAAGAAACGAAAATTTCAGTTTTTGACTCACTGATTGAATTCATTGACACTCGTTTTCGCACACTGGAGGCTCTATATCCATAAACAGGTAAATCTTTGCAATCAAAGCAACCGTCAAATTCATCTTCGAGTAAACATCCCAATCGGAAAGACGTAAAAAATGTTCATATCTCAGCGAAAAACCTTTCATGCACAATGTGTAAGCAGTCGCATCTTCTACGAAAATGTCCACGTTTTCTGGGGCTTACGCCAATCAACCGAAAATCATTTGCAGAAAAGGCTCACTAATTGTCTAGGTCGTTCTACTGGATCAGCATTTGTAAGTACTAAGCCATGCTTCACTTGTGGTGGTAAACACCACACTCTTCTACATCCCGATACATCAACTCCATCGCCGACTACATTGCATCCTCATACAAACAATTTCGAGCGATCTTCCCCTAAACCGACAACGAAATTTCCAAATGTTTCGCTTGCTGCAAATAATTTAGTTCATTCGAATCATACAGCGCTTCTCGTCACAGCGTTAATCGACATACCCGACGCCCACGGCCAACTCATACGTCTTCGTGCCTTAGTAGACCAAGGTTCACAACAAACGACAATCACAGAAAGAGCAGCTCAACGTTTAAACTTTCCTATTACTCCAATTTGCATAGGATATTGACCAATGGGTGAATCACAATATAAAATTGCTAATAAAGGAATGGTTATCGAAATACATTAAATTGTAGATCCGAATTTTAAAGTGCAAGCACTTGCTATTATTCCTTCAATTTCATCAGCTTTACCATTAAAACCCGTCAATGTAAAATCATAGAATCACATCAAACATTTACCACATGCGGATCCACATTACGCTGAACCTGGTCAAGTCGACCTATTGCTTGGTGGGACGTTACAGCAAAAATTCTTCAAGGTGGTTTATGTAAAGGCCAAGACGGGGAGCCCATTGCACAAAACACTTCTTTAGGTTGGATTTTATCAACTCAAGCACCAGAATCACGTAACAAGATTTCTGTTAAATGATTGTTTTCATGTTTCCACCGTAGAAATAGGCGAATGCATTAAACGATTCCAAGAACTGGAGCAAGTTCCAATCGAAAGAAAAGGGTCTAAGAAAGATGAGTGCACAGAACGGTTTTATGAAAAAAACCACCACTCGACAATCTACTGGAAAATTTTTGGCCCGTTTGCCATTCAAATGGTATTTTGATCCATCGATTCACTTGGGATCCTCTTTCTCTATGGCGCTTAAACGTTTTCAATGTCTTAAACGACGTTTCCACTGCGATAGCAATTTTCATAAGGCGTATGTCGACACATTTAACGAATATAAACTATTACGGCAAGTAAAGGAGGTAGAAACGATCAATGACGATAATTTCCTACCAGATTCAATTAAGCACTTCTATTTACCACATAACGCTCTGATCAAACAAGGTAGTCTTACAACAAAACTACGACAAGTCTTCGATGGATCAGCACCCTCATCAAACGGAAACTCTCTTAATGATGTGCTTACGACAGGCCCCTCGCTGCAATCTGATATTGTTTCGATTATTTTAAATTGGCGAACTCATAAATTTGTTTTTGTTTCAGACATTGAGAAAATGTATCGCTGTATTGATGTTCATGCTGACGGCACAAAATATCAACAGCTCATTTGGGAAGACAACAACCATATCAAGACATATTCTCTCCAAACAGTCACATTCGGACTCAAGCCCTCACCATTTTTGGCAATAAAAACATTACAAACATTAGCTAAACTGGAGCGAAAACAGTATCCGTTTGCTTACACAGCAATTACTAATGAAACGTACGTTGATGATGTTACTTCGGGAAGCGAAACAATTGAATTAACTAACAAAAATATTCAAATGCTCCGGGATGCTGGTTTCGAACTACGAAAATGGGCTAGCAATTCCTCGGAAATTCTTCATCATATTCCACTCGAATATCGCAATCAGGACACAACGTGTTTGTTCAATTCGAGTGATGACGTTAAAGCACTCGGCCTCTGTTGGTCGATGAAAGAATACTGTTTTTCATTCAATATCAACTTTTCGATCAGTGAGGCTCCACCTACCAAACGAACGGTACTCTCTCTCATCGGTCGTCTCTTTGATCCATTAGGGTAGATCAATCCATTTGTCACTAAAGCGAAATTGTTTCTTACAACACTTTGGGAGCGGAACATTGATTGGGACGAAACATTGCCATCAAAATTAAATTCGAACTGGAATGAAATGATTCACCAGCTTAAATATTTCAACGAAATTAAAATTCCCCGCTGGGTATAAACAACACGTGAAAACCAGTGTAGTGAATTGCATGTATTCTGCGACAGCTCACAAAGGGCTTATTCAGCATCAATTTATTTGCGTACCGTAGCATCGTCGGGGAGGATTCACATCAATTTGCTCATTTCTAAAAGTACACTGGCACCCGTTCGTAAACCCATTACGATTCCTAGATTGGAATTGTGTGGTGCAGTCTTAGCTTGTAAGTTATTAGAATCACTAAAATATACATTCCGGTTTCATATAAATCAAATTTATCTATGGACAGATTCATCAATCGTGTGGTCATGGATTCGTGGGGACCCGAATAGATGGTCAACCTTTGTTTCAAATCGTATTCACAAGATTCTATCATTGACCGTAATTGACCAGTGGAGACATGTTATTTCAGAGGACAATCCGGCTGATTGTAATAGCCGCGGTTTATCCGTTGAATAATTACTGGCGTCCGATTTATGGTGGAAAGGTCCGAATTCCCTGCCTTCTGAAAAATGGCCACATTCTCCGCTCAACGTTATCGATGACGATCCGCAGGAGCTTCGGTCAAAATTAAAATCTATACATGCTACCAACTATCAATAGTCTTGATTCCATTATTAATCGATTTTCAAATTTCAATCGTCTTCGTTATAGTATCGCATATTTTGTTCGTTATGTCCAATGGCTACGCAATGCCATACACTCGAAACAACCAAAAATGCCAGTTTCGAAAGATTCAATAAAAGGAAAAATTTACAAAATTTCACCACCGTCCGTTCAAGAATTGGAAAAGGCTGAATTGTCTATCATACGATGGATACAAGGGGAATATTTTTATTCTGAACTCAATTCTTTACTACGAAAACAACCACTTTCAAAATCAAGCAAACTGATACACTTGAACCCGTTTATAGACAAAAATGGAATTCTTCGAGTAAATGGTCGATTACACAACGCATACATATCATATGATGAGAAGTTTCCAATCATTTTGCCAACGAACCATCGAATAGTTTTTTTAATTGTTGATTTTTATCACAAGCAAACACTCCATGGAGGTCCCTTGGTCACCGTTAATCAAATACGTCAACGTTATTGGATTCTCAACATTCGAAATTTTGTACGTCATTTCATCCATAAATGTGTTCGATGCTTTAAAAACAAGCCAACTCTTTCTAATCAATTAATGGGTTCTTTGCCGTTTCATCGCGTTATCAATCAAGACCATTTGCTGCAACTATTATTGATTATGCTGGGCCGTGCATCAAAGTGTCGAGGTCAATCTTCGTATAAAGGATATGTAGCCATATTTACATGCATGACAACCAAAGCCGTTCACTTGGAAGCAGGAGGAGATTTATCCACACCACCGTTTTTACATGCCTTTGAGCGATTTATTTCAACTCGCGGCCTATGTCATGACCTTTATAGTGATTGTGGAACAAATTTCATTGGAGCAGCGAATATCCTTAAACGTTCAAAAGAGGAATTTGAGGCAACGATCCAGGCAGATGTCATTCCACATTTAGTTACTCGCAATATTCAATAACACTTTAGTCCACCTGGAGCACCGCACTTCAATGGACTAGCAGAGGCGGCCGTCAAGTCCATGAAATTCCATTTAGCATGAATCATTGGTATCACAAAATTAACTTTCGAAGAATTTTTAGCCGTACTGAAGCGCATCGAGGCGGTTCTAAATTCACGCCCAATATCGCCAACCAGCGACTGCTTAAATGATCTCACTGCTCTAACACCCGGACATTTCCTCATTGGAAGTCCATTACTTGATCGACCACAACCACCAACATTTGAAAATCCAGTTAAGAGACATCAGCTCATGGAACAATTAGTGCAGCATTTTTGGACTCGATTTCGTAGCGACATTTTCTCAAGCATGCAAATTCGTACCAAATAGCCTAGTCGACAGCCTAACGTCATAAAACATGATTTAGTCATCATCAAGGACGAAAGGTCCCCAATAAATCAATGGCTTTTGGGTCGCATCATTGATCTTCATCCAGGTGACGATGGTTTCATTCGCTGTGCTACAATTCGAACATCTCAGAACGTACTCAAAAGACTGATCACAAAATTGTGTGTAGTTCCTACACCAAATGATATTTAGCCCACAATTTGCATTTTCGATCACTTTACTTACAGCCGTCCATTTCGAATCAATCGTACGCATTTGCCGACAAATGTCACCATGAACTCATCATAGCCGCTTATTAGTATATATCTACACTATATAAACAGCAAAGTTATGTAACTAGAAATTGTATTTATACACCGCCTTTCGTACACATTCACAAAAAAAAAAATCTGAATTTATATTGTAACTGTACATATATATATTTGAGTTAATAACGAATTGCATTCGTCATCGGCGGGAGAATGTTAAGTTCAGATTTAAATTCATAAAAAGTCACTGCCGATATAGTGTAAGAATAGTGATTTTCTCTATGTAATTGCCATAGTGTAGATGCAGTGTAATGCTGCATGTTTATCGATTTCGATACTTTACAAACACCTTTGGGTTTTCTGTAATCCCTAAAGTAACAAATGAGGAAATAAAGCATAGCAAAAGGTATACTTGGTCAATTGGTCTTGTTTTTTATTTTCATTGTCCACGAGTATTGATTAAGAATATTATTCATATCCGACCAACTTCCAGCCGGGACATCATTTAATCGCATACGAAACACATACTGTACATAAAACATGCATAAATGTATTTTAAAAAGCATATTATCTGATGCGAATTTTCGGTATTTTCTGGTGATATATCTATAGAAGTATAAATCACCCCTCAAAAATATATTCCTGGGTGCGCTTCTGACTTGAAGGTATATCGATCTGAGAATTTGAGGCATTACGTCTTACAAAGCCCAGAACAAAGTACGCCTTTGCCGTTATATAGCTGACATGCTTATTGAACGAATATATTTCATCAAGGTCTTTTATCTCATCAACATGATTTAGATCATGTTCGGGACGGGATGAAATGTGGGCCGGGAATTCCTCTTGAATTCCGCGGGAACGAGGGTGGAGGAGGTGCCGAATCCCTGAAGTCCTTCGAGGGTTGAATTTAACACATTTAAATTCGCTCAATAAAATTAAATGAAACACTTCACTGTCACTAGTATATGTGTATATATATATGTAAGAGCCTAACGGCCACTTTATTATATGTCTATATAAAAAAATTCTGTAATAAAAATATGTAAAATGTATTAACAATTAAAGGACCTTACTTGAGTGATCGGTACAAAAATTTACAAAATTTCGTTTTGATAGCGACATTAGAAATATTCAGATTATAAAAGTTTTTCACATATGTTTTAAGATTTTAAAGCTTTTAAAAAGTACGGTAGAATGCAACAATGTGCTTAAATTTGTTTGCATCTTCGTCAGCTTATTCGTTTGCAGACTAGAAAAATGCCGAACAGCCATCAAAATACTAATTCAAAATACACATCTTTCACTGGACACACAAATGGGTGCGCGCAGCAAAATTCAGCCCTAATGGTAAGTTAATTTCATCGTGCGGCGATGACAAGTTAAGAATTTGCGATACGTTTTCAGGCGAATGTGTGCGAACGTTCACCGTGGGAAGAGGTATGGGACGACAGCTGGCATGGCATCAAGCCGGTAATCTGGTGGCTTTAGCATTAAGTTGTAACCGCGTTAAGATATTTGACATAGCTGAAGGCGAGCTAATACAGTGCATTCGTCGCCGGATAATGATGTTGCATTTCACCCAAGTGGAAATTTCTTGGTGACTGGCGGCGATGACGATACGATTAGATTGCTTGATTTATTAGAAGGCCGACCAATTTATACACGGTAGTAGTGCACTTTAGCGGAGCAATCTGCCTTAAATTTATGTTCCCCATGTAACGGGTATAAAATTCGTTAAATCCGCACTATCTGTATTAACAAAAAATATACATTCGAATATTTAAAATAAAACGATTCATATTTATTTTCTAATAAGAATTGTTTCTTAATTGAAAGTATTTAATACTAATATAATGTAGTGGTTAATGTTTAAAAATGAATTCGCAATATGTCCGCAGCTCAGGTTGATTTGAAGAAATCCGTTTAAATTTTTCGAATTACATCTACTTGAATATAGGATAGGCAGGGTTGCATACAAATGGTAGTTCCGTAAATATTTGAAATATATTAGTTCATTCAATATTTACATCTGGGCCAATAACTAATAACAAATATAGCCGAATAAACAAAGTTTCGATTAAAACGAGTTTTTATAACCCCCCATAAAATTCCGATTAATTTTAAATACGAAAATATTGATATTTTTTCATGGAGAGGTATTTTTTTTTAATATACCTTGTTTGTACCTACACAAGAACCTCATTAGCAAAAAACCGATTGGACTCAACATATATTTCTTTACAGCATTTATACCCCTGTCTTTATAGCGCACTCGATAAAGTCTTATTCAAAAGTAAACAAAATCTGCTATTTTTAAACGACATTTTTTTAATAAATAATTTGCGCGGTTGACCGAAATGGAAACAAACAATAATTGTAATTTATTATAACAATAATTCGAATTTAAAACGGGCTGTATAAAGAAAACCAGCCTATTGTCACTTCACTTTCCAATGGTGCTGATTGCTGCAAGAATTATTTAGCGATTTAGAGCATAATCAACACAATATATGCACATAAATATGTATTATTTCACAGATCTCAGGGTCAGCTTAGAAATACGTTACCAAAATTATATAAAATTTAAGTAGGAATTATTTTTACTTATAACGTAAAAGCGCTATCTGACCCAGTCTGATAAGTATATCTCCCCTAAATTTTTGCTTTAATTTTTGTCTCCTTTTAATATTTAATTAGATACCTTAAGATTAAAATAAGTTTAAAGCGAAACAGCACAGCAACCCTTTTCTGTTCATCGTGAGAACACAAAACCCTCTTTTGTTAAAATTCGGCGCTGCACAAAATCCTGGCTTTTATATTTTTCAACAAAATACTACTTCGCAACCCTGGATTTTCACGAAGCGTTTCATTCGGGTCGTAGTTTTGCAACTTAGGGCCATTCGGTGTTGTATGCCATATTGGCTGCCATATTGTTCACACTGTCATCGCCATATTGAACACCCTGTCAACTATCTGTCAGCCCTAAGATATCTCACTTGTATTCTTCCACAATGAACCCAACATCCGAGGCGGGTAACAGGATTCGAGAAAAAGGAACTGGAGTAACGAGTAACTGTTCCCGCTTAGATCACAGCGACATCTAGAAGTGAAATTCTCTAATTAATAAACATACTTAAGGTGAAGGGGGCTAGCGTAAACCTGCCGCCCGCCTTGCAGTGTCGCTGCAATAAACTTAACTAGATATTAACAATTCATTTAACTATTTACAATTCATTTTTCTTTAACAATTCATAAATTCATTAAAAATTAATTTTTTTTTATTTTCACGCCAATTGCTTCCAGTAGTCCACTAGTAGATGGTGCCTCCCGAGATCATCCACCCGAACATTGTGTCGTTGGTCGCGTGGGGGTCTCTGGAATGAGCCCTGGCCGTAGGATCATTGCGTATATTTCGGCTCCTAGGACTAGTGATACGGCGCTAGATGTGTAGAAGCCCGGGTCGGCCAGCCGAAAATTGTCGAACTCATTTGTTATTCGGGCGTCTAACGTTCGCAAGGGTGTGACCCGGGAGAGGCCCTTCGTTACGTCTGCGCAGATATCAAGCCTTTCATGCCACCCTTTGAGCGTGAGCCTGCACGCATCCGAGTCGCCCCGGGTAGCAGCAGGAGTCGGCGCGCCAGTTGTAGCGATATGGTCGACTTGGGTTGCCCTGGATCAACGATAGCTCGCACCACTTGCGTCCTGCCACGGGTCATCGCCTTAACCGCTACTGTGGGTGTGAGGGCAGATAGCCTAGGAGCGCTACGTACCGTTCCCGTGATCCGCTCTCGGGCGTCTCTCACACCACGACGGTGGGGTTGTTGCTGGGGTCGCCGCTTGTGTCGGTGTTGACGTCGGTGTGCGCCTCGGCGCTTCGACCTCGTTGCTGGGGCTCGCTGCACTACCGACCGGACACCCGACAGAGCAGGTCTGAATGCCGGCGGTGCGCTAAGCTCGGGATCATCATCCGATGCTTGTTGGAGGTCTTATTCAACGGCGTCGATTTCCAGCACCTCGCCTTCGTCGCTCGTTTCGGCTAATGGCCGGATGGTGTACGGACGGAACGGTTGTCTTTGACGGATCTCTGGCTCGTCGAATCCCAGTAGCACGTCTTCCTCATCTCGGGCGCCTCGCCCAGGTGGAGGAGGCTATAGTGCCGGTCTCGGCAATGTTCGCATTTTCGGGGAGATGCGCAAATCTTCGCCGTGTGATGCGGCGACAGGCAGTTGGCGCAGTGGCGGTGCACGAGGACATCACGCAGTCTCTCGGCCGGTTCCATCCTGCGCATCTCGCGACAAAAAGCCAGGCGGTGGTTGCTGCGGCACACTAGGCAGCGGTATTGGCCCTTGTGAGTTTGGGTGTTGCTTTTGGTTGCACGAACCCTTTTGCGTTACTGAGTTCTGTAAAGAGAGATACGATTATTATTTTGTTTTGTCAATCTGGCAAAAGTACCAATTTTACAATTGGTCGAGTTATAACTCCGCGTGCCGTTCGTATTTCTACGACTCGTACTCGGCTGTCCTGACCTGAAAAGACCCTAATTACTCTGCCAAGTCGCCATTCATTTGGGGGAAGGTTATCCTATTTGACGGCGACTAGATCGTCAACTTCGAGGTTTCGTTTTGGGGAGTGTCATTTCACGCTCTTCTGCAATTCCTTCAGGTATTCTGGTTTTCTCCTTCTGCAGAATGTCTGGTGAATCGCTTTGATCTTTTGCCACCGGTTGACAATAGACATCGGGTTCTCCTTAATTTCGGGTTCAGCGAATGCCAGTAGCGGGGTGCCAATTAAAAAGTGTCCTGGGGTTAGAGGTTCCATTGATTCCGCGTCTTCAGAGATGGGGCTGATTGGTCGTGAATTAAGACAAGATTCGATTCCTTCCAGAAGCGTGGAGAGCTCTTCAATGGTAGAGCGCATGTTGTTCGCTACCTTCCTGAAATGCATCTTGAAGCTTTTTACCCCCGCTTCCCAGAGCCCTCCCATGTGAGGTGCTCCTGGAGGTATAAAATGCCACGTAATGCCCTGATGAGCGTATGTCTGGGTTGTGCTGTTCGCCGCTGCAGAGACAAAGTCTAAAATCTGTTGCAATGCCTTATTTGCCCCTACAAAGATGGTTCCATTGTCCGAATACACATTATGCGGGCAGTCGCGTCTAGACACGAAACGCGCAAAAGCTGCTAAATGTGGCGGTGGACAAATCGCTGGTGGCCTCCAAGTGTATTGCTTTTGTCGCAACACAGACGAAAACGCAGACATAACCCTTGGTAATGCGACACGCTCGACCCGTAAAATCCGGTGAAGTCGACTCCAGTGTTGGTGAAGGATCTGGACACCTCAGTTCGTTCCGGTGGTAACGCTGCCATCAAGTGCTCCCGCGCCTTCTTTCTGTAAATAACACAAACCTTACAGTTATAAATTGAATTTTTAATCAAGTTTTTCATTCGCACTATCCAGTACTCGGACCGCAAAATTCTCAACATGAGCTGGTTTCTTCCATGCAAGGAAATCCGATGTGTGAATTTTACGAGCAATCTGGAATACTGGCAGTTGTACGGGAGAATTATTGGATACCGTTCACTGTAAGTTAAGTTCGTTAACGCCAGTCGTCCTCCTACCCTCATAACTCCGTTGATGTCCCTGTATTCATCTGCATAGTGACGCCTCTGTGCAATAACGATCAGACGACATTTTACCTGCTTTACTTCATCGGCGGTTATTTCGTCTGTCCCGTCACTAGCGGCCAACTTATGCACCGGATGAGTTTTTCTAAAAAATCGGAAAATTCGCGCAATTACTCTCATGGCTCGCGAGAAGTCTGAAAACCGCTCCAGAATGTCCATTTCCCCGTACCAATTTTTGCTCCAGGTCGGTTTCTAATGGATTTCTATTGGTTTGTTGGGGCCAAGTAGATGAATCTTGCTCCAACCACTTAGGTCCATACCACCACAGAGTGCTTGAGAGTAGATCCTGGGGGGACACGCCTCACTGGATTATCCGCAGAGTCCACATGATTCCACCCTGATACTCCAACGAGCTCATCAATTTTTACGACTCTGTTAGCTACAAACGTTGTCCATGTACATGCCGGTCCCTTCAGCCATG